CAGAAGGTCCTTCTTCTTGCCGGAGTCTCTTGCTAGGGCGAAGGGGCCGGTTCTGCAAAGGACAGATTTGGAAGGTGGGGTGGAGAGAGGAGCTGTAAAGACAGGGAGCCAGGGCTTTTGGAAGAAGAGGGTGAGTCTAGGGCTTGGTGAGGAGGGAGGCAAGGTCCCTGCATGGAGATCAAGGATGGGAAGATAATTCAGTGACGATTTTGGGGCTGTGTGTGTACGTACAGAACCCCAGGGTGGTGGAAATGGTTAACGCGCTCGGCTGCTAACTGAGCGGTTGGAGGTGCCTTGAAAGAAAGGCCTGGCAATCTACTTCTGAAAAATCAGCCATTGAAAACCTTGTGGAGCACAGGTCAGCTGTGACACACATGGGTTCTCCATGAGTCAATGGCAACTGGTTACTGAGGTATGTGTAGGAGCAGGGGGTGAGGGGTCCTCTTACCTTTCCAAAGTGCTGTGTGATTGGCAGGCGCTGTTGCAGACGATCTGAGCGGCTGACGAGAGGCAGGGTCCTCAGCGAGCCGCCCCTTTGCAGGCCAGAGTCCCCATCCTAGGGGGAGGGTGGGTAAGCTGGGAGCCCCCTCCCCCACTCTTCCCTACCCCTTGGCCCTTGGTCTTACCTTGTACATCAGAAGGCTCTGCATCCCCTTCAAGCCACTCTTGGCCTACGGAGAAGCCAAGAGGGAGTTAGACTCGAGGCTGGTTTGACCCTGTGAGTTTGCAAGCTAAGCCTTCTGTTCCCTAGGACAGCTGTAATCCTCCTGTCTTGCCATCTGTCCGTTGCTTTTTCACACATCTGTCCACTATTGCCTCACATACCACCTCAGTGCCAGCTTTTTGCCTTTAGGCTAATTCAGAAGTATTCCTGGAGGAGGAGTCCCTGGGTGGCGGTTTGAGTCCACCCAGAGGCACCTCAAAAGAAAGGCCTGGCGATCTACTTCCAAAACAACAAAAAATCAGCCATTGAAAATCCCATGGAGCACGTTTTACTCTGAAACACACGGGGTTGCCATGAGTTGCAGTCAACTCAACAGCAACTGTTTTTTAAATTATTCCTAGAGAGGGGGGAAAAAATAAAAACACCAAAATCAAATGGGGCATGGCAAAAACAGAACAGTGGAAAACGTGTCAGTGGCTAAAAGGCGAGAGAAGAAAATCTAACGGCCAGTTTTGAGCTGTAAAAGTTGGCCCCTGGGGAAACTGGACTTGGGAGAAAAAACAGGAGGACAGAAGCTGGGATTGTAGGATCTGAGGACAAAAGATGTTTGCCAAGGAATCTTAGTTGTACATTTTATAGACAAGAGTGATTCCAACGCAAAGAAGTATAGTAAAACGGAAAACAAATGTGGGAAGGATTGTTCACAGTTTAACTGCTGCTGCAGTTCTGATAAAACTATTTGCACTTAAAATGTCTGTGGGGTTAAAATGTCCTGCGTCCCCTCCCCCTTGTCACCCCACAAAGTATGGCTTGTCCACTTGTCTTACCGAGCGGTACATGTTCTTCACGGCTGGTTGGGTCTTAGCCTTGACCGAGTGCAGGAGGGCACCACCGCCTTTCTGGATAGATAAGGGAGAAAAGTGTGGGGCCCTGGGGTCCTGGGGGCTGGATCCCAGACCCTGCCTCCCTACCCCATGCTGTGTGATGCTGGATAAGCCCTTCTCCCTATCTGAGCCACAATTTCCTCATCTGTATAAATGCACATAAGGATGGCCCTACCTCGGGATTGTGGTGGGATTAAATTAATTCAATAACAACCAGGTAACAAGTGTTTGGTATTTTACCTTCAGGTTGTCTGCCCAGAGCTGGTAGGAGCGGAGGGCGCCTGGAGTGAGGGGAGAGCGTGGTTATCCCATGCCAGCTTGGTGGGGGGGAGACGGGGGGATGGGGGCTCAGAGGCTAGGCTCAGGGCTCACCTGAGGACGCCTCGCTGCAAGTGATTTCCTGCTCAAAGAGATCTGAGAAGCCATCCCCCGAGTTGAGCTTCTCCAGCCGGCCTTCGATGAACTGGGAGTGGGGGAGAGGGTCAGGGCAGACCCACATCTGAATGCGAG